GACACCCAAGCAGCAAAGGTTATGGAAAGTATCCAAGATGAGGAATTAGAAGATGAGAATTCCAAGAAGACAGAGTCTGATTCTGAGGATGAGCTATATGTCTCACAACGGCAGCCAGATTTAGATCCAGAATGGAAGCGCTGGATGAACGAGCCAACTCTTGGGCCTAAAATTGATATACTCAAGTTTTGGGCAAGTAAGCAATACCAATATCCAATACTTGCCGCAATTGCCAAAGATCATTTAGCAATTCCTGCTACATCAGCGGAATCTGAGCGAGTGTTTAATGTTGGTGGCGATATTATTACAAAGAAACGGAACAGATTAGCATCATCTACACTACGATATCTTATATGTCTTAGGAATTGGGGCGTGGTATCAGCAGGTGAGGATTCAGAGGAAGATGAGGATGCATAGTTACTGTATTTCCATAGTCTATATAGCTATCAATCATGTTTTCATTTTTATACTCGAGTACTACTCGAGTACTACTCTACTCGAGCCCAAAAAACAGTACTCTACTCGAAGATCTCTGAGTAGTACTCTGAGTAGTACTCGGGCAACACTGACTTGAAGTGCAAGAATCATTCTTCGTTCTCTGTACAAAGTTGTCATGTTTAAAAAAAGGGCAAAAACTCCATATAACGTACATGTATAGCGAAAGCGCCAAACAAGCGAAAGCGCCAAAATTATCTACCCTCACGACAAACATTGCGATAAATCTACCACAACATTAGAAATCAATTGAAACTACTCAGAGTCCTCTTCCTCAGAGGTGTCTATTACAATCTGACACGTGCGCGCATTGTGCCCAGTCTCACCACACTTGCCACAGCGACGGGCACGGGTTTCTTCCCTTGGCTTCCGACCACGGCTTGCCCTTATTTCCTGCTCTACCTGCTGCACAACATCCCTCTCATCCTGTAGCTCTTGCGCCCCTTGTTGACTAAGTGATCCTCCTTGCTGTAGTCGTGTTTTCCTAGCTCTCCGGCGCTTGCTTAGTACTTCATTTGCCTGTCGTAGGTTTTGGTTCTCTCCCTTTAGCAGTGCTAATTGATGCATTATTTGCGATGCACCCTTTGTAAACTGGTCAACAGCTGCATAGATTGAGGTTGGAGAGCTATTTTGATGGCGTGAAATCCGAGTTTTAATAAATGTAGACTGTGACATAGCTTCAATTGGGTTGTTTGGTGTCTGAGAAACCCAAGGTTGAGCAGTACCTGGGCGGGAGCTTGGAGGCGTTGGTGTCCTTAACTTAAGATCAAGTGTAGATATCACTCTCTCAGGGTCAAATGGAAGAAGCCCTGCCCCTCGGAACCCGCCTCAAATGTTACTTTCCGTCATTGTAGTGTTAAATGCAGCGTGGAAGGCAGGAAAGAAGTCATCCTTTGTAATATGAGAAATATGAGCCTGCATCATATCTTCAATTTGCCGACCATAGGCCTGCTTTAACGGGCCGAAACAGCCAACATCAAGTGGCTGGAGTAGATGAGAAGAGTGAGCAGGCATACAAAGCGTAATAATGTTGTGTTCCTTGCAGTACTCCTCAAACTCATCTGAGTGGTGGCTCTCATGACCATCAAGGACTAACAAGCGATAACCACCAACACTCCGGGCCTTTGTATGCTTCTCAAAGTGCTGAATCCAATCCATGCCTCTCTCGTTTGTAGTCCAGCCATTTTCAGTAACAGAAATCACCCAATCGCTTGAAAATCCACTATTCTCATACCAAGATGTAAGGTGGTTTTTGCCTGCAACAATGATAAATGGTGGTACTGCCCAACCTTGAGAACTAACGCCTTGGATTACTGTAACCCATTCCCGATTACCAGGCTGTACCTTCTTTGCTTTTGCCCGCCCGTCTGAGCTTGTTACAACCATAGCAGTTGAGATAACGCCCATCATAAACCCAGTCTCATCAAAGTTGTAGATATCTGCTTCATCGATACCATATTTCGCAATTGTGTTACGCACAAGCTCAAACCAGCCATTAATAACTTCTGGATCTTCGCACTTAGCCCTCTGGTAGTCGTATTTGCGCTGAAAGCGTGTCTGGAGCTCTACACGCCGCTTAACAAAGTTTGAAGCCCAACGCGACCCAACGCGTGACGCGTCGCGTGTTGCAAGTAGTCGACTTGCCATATCTTCAACAACAGACAGCCGAGGAGGAAACCCTTTGGCAGCTAGGTCGAGTATATACTGAACAAGGACGGACTCCTCTAGGTTAGTTAATTTCCGTGAGTTGGCTTGGATATCGCGTCGTGAAGGTACACCTTCTAGACGACGACCCTAGCTTGCGGTGGTCCACAGAATAGATCCTAGCAGCAACTCGAAGGCGTAACTTTGGGTCGCTTTGCATAGCCTGGATAGCTAGCACTAATTGGCTTTCATCGTTTTTATGGGGCATGTTTTGTTGTTGAGGAATTTAACATTTAGTTGGGGGGTTTGGTCACCGCATCATTTTGGCGCTTTCGCTTGTTTGGCGCTTTTGCTATACATGTACGTTACCCAGTAAAACAATAAATAAATTCTATATACCCAGTTCCATCCCACGTGACCCGCCCAAGCCCAATCTAGAAACTCCCCCCGTTCTCATATGAGAACGGGTCAATTATGAGGCCTGCGGCAAGTCCTGGCATTATGCCCAGGCTCGCCGCAGGTGCCGCAGCGTGTGCGGACCAAGTCCGGCACAGCGGCAATGACTGCCCCAAGCGGCAGAAGTCCTCCGTGATCCCGGCGAGCCCGGCGTCTTCGAGGACGCCGGGCATCCTCCCTCCGAACCCTCTCTTTTCGCGGTCGGCTGCGGGGGATTCCATTGCTCATCATCGGGGCTGGCTCGGACATGCCAGGCACAGCCCTCCTCGGGACAAACGGCGGTTGCCCCATCTTTGTCCCTCCTCTGGAGCCGCCAGGAGAACTTCTCCTTGACGGCCCAGTCGTCCAGGGCGCGGGACCAAGCGTCCAAGTAGAGGAACTCGCTACCGTCGACAGGGGCAGCAAGTTCGGCTAGCGAGGCCATCGTAGGAGGCAGGGGCGGGGCGGGGGAGTTTGTGCCTTGCGCGAGAGCTTTCGAGGGGGGTTTCGAGGGGGTCGGAGGAGGGAGGGAGCCTGGGAGGTGTCAGCGGGGTTCGGTGGAGGGGAGGAAGGGAAGGGGGAGGAGGTTTGGGGGTCTCAATTGACCCCCGACTTCCCATGCAATTGAGCTGGTATATTGCCAGCTCAATTGCTTCAAAAAGGCCATATGAGAGCACCTACTCTCAAATGGGAGTACGCCTCTCATTGGCTCGTTAACCTTCCAAAGGAGGGTTAGCGGCCGACTGGGTAGATGGAGTTTTCTTACCAGTTTACTGGGTATATCGAGTTTTTGCCTTTAAATTTTTTTTTTTTTTAAACTCAAAAGTATGATTGTAAGAAAAAATCGGCAGTGAGCTTGTGTAGGCGACTTGCTTGTGAACTACGTTAAGCGAATTATAACATCTAAGCTCAACACCTCGTAGCAACGATTTTTTTATTACTTGTTAGAAGCCCGATACCTAGAGTGGCTGTACTTAAGAGTCGAAGAATATGGGTTATCGCTAGAGGGGCATAGATAGCTTTAACTACAGCGGACAGTGGTGTATAATAGGTAGTCGAATTAACCCGTTGCCTGCCCACGGACCCAACACGTTTCGCTCTATGATCTTTATCTCATGATACACTGCACCAACCAGCTCCTCTGTTTCCTCCCTAACCATCACATAATGTGTGGACCATCAGACTAGGGTCTAATTCTTGTTCACTCCCGGCTCATTCCCAATCACTTCCTTCCCTCAACCATCATTACATGATACCCAAATCCCGTCTTCGCCTCCCCCCACTTCGGGTTCCCCACTGTGCTGGCCTCAAGCTCAAAAGCCACAGCCTCAAAGATAGGGTCAAGGTCGCCTCGTCGTTTCCAGCCTAGTGCACCGCCTGAGGATGTTAGTATAAATACTTCCACCTGTCCACGATGCTTCTCCTAGTGTCACATCACACCGCTACTGCCACCGCTCATCTGCGCCGGACGTGCAGTTCTGCATGTGCCAGGAGACAGAACACGACGTATAGCGAGAGAAAGGGGAAAATAACGACAGAGAGAAAAAGGTACACACCCGCTCTCGCCTTGTCCCCGCTCATTTCCCTCGCTACCTCATCGAACTTGCCTCCATCGCGTAGTTTGGCGACGACCTCCTCCTTGCGCGCGTGCTTCTCGCACAGGATATGGCGGACGTTGATCTGCTGCGCGCCCTTGACCTTCGCTCCTCCCTTGTCGTCGTCGGCCTTGCTCGCATCCTTCCCCTTGCCCTTTCCCTTCCCTGCACCACCCGCAGCAGTCTTGTCTTTCCCCTTTGGCGCCATGCTGTGTCTTGTCGCTTTGATCACCTCGCAGCCAGCTTCCTCGCCGTGATCACCTTCCCTTTCTCTCTTTCTCTCCCTCACCACCTTCCCTTTCTCTCCCTGACCACCTTCCCCTTCTCTCTCAGCTCCCGTTCTCGGTTTCTCGTCACAATTCACACTTCCTATCTCTGACCGCACTTCCTTCACGCTTGTGCCTTCTATTCTCGTACAGAGTATGTAAGTATTACCTGATAAACTTGCTTAACCCGCTATAAGTCACTTGCTCCTTCCCTCATTCACACGTCGACAGCGGGGTACTAGCCAATCCAATCAACCCCACTTACGTACAGTTTCTCGATATGAATCACGTGAGTGCGCCTATTCATGCTGGTTAGGGTCGTTTATTCCGCATGTTTGTCCGGATCACGGAAGAACGGAAAAACATGGGAAAGGCCGGCAATCGTCGGGTGTGACGTCGTATGTTGTGTGAGATTGGGTGAGATTGGGTGAGATTGGGTGAGATTGGGTGAGATTGGGTCAGATTGATCAGATTGTGTGGATGGGGACTGCCTGCTGGGATAACAAACTAGGGATGAGGCTACAACGGGCTAGACGAGGACGGGGCGAGAGCGACCAGGAGTGCTTCGATGCTTCAGCTTGCTTGGTCTTCCTTTATACCTATAAAGGGATATATCTTCGAGCCTTGGTATTGTACTACTGACGGCTATTAACGACCCTCTCAACGACTGCATGATATCCGCGGCCGGCATTTACTCAACAGCTCCACAGACCGAGGTGGCAAACAGCAACTGAACAGGTCAACAATATACCTCGATACTCCAAATACGCTCCCCACGACCACACACAATGGCTCCCGGCCTCACCCTCCATGATAGCCCTCCTCTCTCCAGCACAACCTCCAAGCTCGCCTCTCCACCCACCACCTGCCTCTCCACGACCCCTTCTCCGGCTTCCTCCCCGAACACTACCTCCTCTGCCACCTCTACCGCAGGCACGACCAAGCCGGCTCCACGCCCTTCTAATGCATTCGAGGACCTCGTTGACTCACTGACGGCCATCCTGGGCCCGACGTCCGGCTTGACGAGCGAGGGCGTTGATGTCGATGCCCTGACGAGGCTGATGAGGGAGTATGAGAGTAAGGAGGAGGACTGGGGACGGTACGCGCTAGGAGATCCGTCGAGGGGGTATACGAGGAACTTGGTGGATGTAGGGAATGGGAAGAGCAACCTGGTATGTGTTTCCGTATTTTTCGTTCGTTCCGTTGGTTTGGTGAGGTTGGGAAACAACTACAGCTTGTTCGGAGATAATGAAGACTCGCTAACGCTCAAACAACAGCTCATCCTCGTCTGGTCCCCTAACAAGGGCAGCCTCATCCACGACCACGCTGATGCCCACTGCCTCATGCGTATCCTCTCCGGTACCCTACGCGAAACCCGCTACGCTACCCCTCCTTCACCCGCCGCCGCGCCCCCCACCGTCCTCAAAGAGACCACATACTCCGCAGGCCAAGTCACCTACATGTCCGATTCCCTCGGCGTGCACAAGATCTCAAACCCAGACCCGGAACGGATGGCCGTGAGTCTACATCTCTATACCCCGCCGAACGCCGCTAAGGAGGGGTGCCATGTTTGGGACGAACGCCATGGCGGCAGGAGCCACGTCAAGCAGAACAATTATTTCTCGGTGATGGGGGTGAAGGGAGGCAGGGTGGAGGACCTGATGTGAGGGGGTTTGTTAATGGCTATGAGTTCTGAGGGTTTCATGAGAGTTTATGACCGCTTTAAGGGTTCGGTGAGGGTAGATGGGGTGGGGAGGGGGATAAGTTGTATAATAGACAGCTGTTAATGACATCATCCTCACGCGACAGCTCTCTTTTGCTGCTTCAACCACAATCGTCAGTTTCTAGCTTGTAGGATTAACACATCAACTTCATGTAACGAAGTGTAGTGTGCAATTTCAGAGTGCTCATTCATTTCTGTAATTGACAGGTTGGACGTTGACTGTCGAGCTCTCAACTCTCTCTTATGACGTTCCGGATTTGACACAAGGTCTCACATCTGCATTGAGCTATACTCCAACAAGCACAACTACCAGCACCACCGACACCGATATAATACACACTCAAGACCTACCTCAAAATGTGGCCCTTATCCAAGAACCACCCCTCCAAAACAAACGGCTCCTCCAAAAATTCCATCGCCCAGCCGTCCTCGAAACCAACTGCCTCCTCTCAGAATCCAATGCCACCATATCACCCATCCGCAAGACCAGGCTCCACCTCCGGGATCCCAATCCCACAAACAATCACCACTGCGACACAACTCCTCGCCCCGGGCAGGGCACCCCCCTCATCAGCGCACCCCCCACTATCCCAGCGCCACCAACAATACCCCCCCAAACCACCACCACTCCAACAACAGCAACAAGACGAGCAACTCCTCCTCCTCCAACAACAACAACAGCAGCAGCAACAGCAACAACAACAGCAACAGCAACAACAACAGCAACAGCAACGCTCCCGGCCCCCCACCCCCCTCAAGAAACAAAGCAGCGGCGTCGCCTCCACCCTCTCCAAGCGCCCCTCCGGCGCAAAAACCCCCACCACACCGGGAAGGGGACACTCCTATACCAACAGCGGCGGCAGCGGAACCAGCATCGCCAACTTTGGGCGCTGGGGCCGCCGCAGCCTGCCTTCCCCGCCTGACTCGCTCGCTGGGAACGGCGAAGCGGGTGCTGCGACACAGCTGGGGGAGCGGAGGAGCTGGGGCGCAACAGGGCCCGGGGAGCGGAGGAGTTGGGGAGCGGCGGGGACGGGGGGACTGGGGGCGGCTGGGGCGGCGGGGCCGCCGAGCGAGCAGAGGAGGAGTTGGGGGGCGGGGAATGGGGAGAGGGGGATCGGGAGGGTGGCGGCGAAGATTAAAGCTGCGGTGCTTGGGAGGGAGGGGGGGGGGGGGAAAGGAGGAAGGGGGGGAGTGCGGAGGGGAGTTTAGGGGGGAGTTTGGGAGGGAGTTTAGGGGGGAGTAAGGAGGAGAGCGCGTCGGGGAGTAGGATCGCGAGTCAGGTGGGGAGTAAGGTCGGGAGTCAGGTCGAGAGTTTGAGTGGGAGGGGTGGTGGGGAGGGGGAGGGGAAGAGGAAGAGTGGTGTTAGTAGTGCGGCTGTGTCGCCGACGGGTTCACCTGGCGATAGTGATGGTGGGGTACCAGAGCCAAAGAGCGGGTGGAGCGACAAGGTGAAGGGGAGAAGGAAGAGGAGTTCAAGGTGGCGGGCAAAGAAGGTGGATGAGGATGTGATGCCACCGGGGATGTTGCCGGGGACGGGGGGGCTGGCGAATAGGCCGTGGGGACGGCGGGCGATCTGGGGGCGGCGGGCGAGCGCGAGCGAGAAGGGGGAGGAGGGGGAGGAGAAGAAGAAGAAGGTTGGGGGGTTCGTTACGATGCTGGATGCTAGTCCGGCGCCGATTAGGTTGCCTGGTTATGAGAAGGTGTCGAGGAAGTCGGGGGAATTGGAGGGGGCGAAAGAAGACGTGAAGGGGAAAGAGGCGGAAGAGGAGGAACTGGAGGAGGGTGAGGAGGAAGACGAGTGGGATGAGGATAGTTTGGTACGGCTGTCCGACTGGTGGAGACAGATGCTTGGGAAAGGGAAGGATCCAACCTGGCAGGAACTAGATATGATGTCCGCCTTCCTGACCGATCTGTACGATGAGGAAACACCCTCTCTGGAGATGATCCTGACAACGCGGTTGCACAAGCTGCTCGAGGCGCTGATTAAGGCGGCCGGCGAGCAAGGACTGCGCTACGAGGGGAAGAGGTACCGCAAGATCGCGCGCAAGGCGACCGAGATAAGGGACAAGTGGATGAATGATATGGGCAGCCATCTATACGATATGCGGAAGGAGCGGCGGAAGATGCTGGAAGGTGAGAAGGGGAGGCTTGCGAGAGTGCATATGCGCCCGGTGGGCGAGCATAGCTCGCGGTGGGTGGTGGAAGGGCACGGCGTGGAGGAGGGCATCGAGTTCGAGCCTGGAATGTGAGTCTCAACCCAACCCCCCAACGATGAGACAGCAGTAGCTAATGGCATAGGTGGTGGCTGAACGACGCGTGCGCCGAACGCGATGGTATGCTAACGGACACTCGCGGCAACGTATCCGTGTCGCCGCAATCGGTCTCTGTGGTGACGCTGGCGTTTGGCGAGGAGATGCCGACGCAAAAGCCGACAATCACGCGGTTTACGCACTGCGGTCGCATCGAGACGATGATGCTGCCGCTGATGCGGGCGCTGGATAAGCGCGTGCAGGTGCTGCGGCGGTATACTCTCAAGTCGCGGCTGGCTCCCGAGGCTGGGCTGCGGTATGACGGGTTCTATGATATTGTGTTGTATAGTTTCCAGCGGTTGTCGTGGGATGAGAGCGTCTTCAGGGTGGTGGTTGAGTTTGAGAGGTGTCTGGGGCAGAGACCGATGGATACGGTGCTGGCTGTGCCGATACCGAGTATGCTGGATGATTGGGATATTTACCAGGAGATCAAGGATGATAGCATGAGACGCAGCGTGGGGGAGGTGTGGTATCGCCAGAGCTTGAGTAAGGAGAGGGAGGAGGAGAGGGATCGCTTGAGCTGGCATCAGGTGCGTGCCGATGAGGATAGGAGAAGGGCGGAGGAGGATAAGAGGAGGGAGAAGGAGGAGGAGCGGCGGGCGGAGGAGGATGAGAGGAGGGCGGTGGAGGATGAGAAGAGGGAGGCGCAAATGAAGAAGGCTGGGAGGGAGCTGCAGTATTTGGAGGAACAGGAGAGGATAGAGGCCGAGGGTGGTGGGGAGGAGAGTGTGTAGCGATAAGCTTCATGGGTAGAATGAAGGTAGTTCCGGGGGGTAGCAAAGAACCCTATAAATGTAATATATACTGTACAGTCAGGAATCTAATCGTTAGGTACAAGACCTAAATAGGAAATACTTTCGAACGAGCTTCCTCGTCGTCTTGGTCAACGACGTACACAAACCGAGCGGCGTCAGAGATGAGAGTGGACCTTGATCAAGGCAAGAGTTTGATTATCAATACTAAATTTGCAGGGGCCCAGCCATCAACGTTCTGATCAACAAGATCCTGAGTTTTGGCAGCAAAGTATTCCAGCAACAAGATTAGCCCGACAACAAGAGAGCTCCGCGACAGGAATGTTCTGATAACAGGCCGCCGATCTTCCGTAGTGTCTACCCCACATCTCGGCTGCCGCAGAGAAAAATCATAAATCGGCGCTAGTACCAAACGGTGGTCCAACCACCGTCAAGTTGAGTCTATGCGGGCTCATCAGGGAAGCTCAATCACTCACGAACGCACCTTCCCGCACAGTCACTGGCATTTTTAACTACTTAGCTGGGACACTGATACGTGGGGTAATTAGCCGACGCAAGATGGATCACGGGGCATGCGCGGCTAATGGGGGAGGCGAAGAGCATGCGCGTAAACGGGTGAGGCTGGAGCATGGAGTATCAACAACACCAACACCAGCCATTGATCCTTCTGCAGCACATCTGAACGTTAAGGGAGACATGGAGAAGAGCAAGATTGCGGAGTTAACTTCGAATGCTAGTCACAGCAGGGAGAGGGAGGTTGGTATTCTGCGATGGGTGAACGAGGAGAACGTCGGGTTTGAGGGCGTGCTGAAGCAGAGGTATGTGGAGAATTATTCTTTGAGGTTGATCTATGATTTGAAGCGTTGGACCTCATTTCTGAGGGTTTTCTATTATTGTCTGGGTGATGCAACCATGTCAATCACGTGGGTCTGAGCTCAACATGTTCAATCGGACGTTCATACCAGTGGTATCGTTATTTATGTTGGTTGATACATCCTTTTTTTGCTCGTATCGATGGCCATTTCACCTACTGACTATGAGCAAGATACAGCGATTTCCTTGTGAACGAGATCACACCTGATGGAAAGGTCATCCATCTCACCAACCTCTACCCTTCAAAGCCAAACAAACAGCAGCAAGCCAAACCTGCTCAACCACCAGCACTACAAGAGCCGGTAAAGGCGGCTGAGCCTGTGGAGTCTGTGCCAGCCCCAACTACAACTGTGGCCACTGAAGTAGTTCCAGCCCCAGCACCTACGGCAATAGAGCCACCCAAGGCGTCAACTGCTCCAGCAGCTCCTGGTAATGCAGCTGCTGCAGCGGACTCGTTCGCTCTGGCACCAGAAGATGCGGTGCTACTTGCCAATTATTTCGGCGCCAATGTTAGGGAGCAGATTGTCAGGATGTACAAGAAAATCTTGGCAAAGCCTAACGAAAAGGCCGCCACTTACGGATCAGTTACTTCGGAGCCGATTTTGGACCGTGAACTACGCACAAAGCTGCACCAGGTACGATACTACCGGATGACTATGGTTTCTATTTAAACTAATTGTGATTTAGGATATGAGACGTATTTTCGATTTGAGGCTCGAGACCAACACTGACAAGGATGGGTTCATCAGGATTTCCGCGGCTCCAAAAGCCGGACCCAACAGAGGCCCACGTGGTGCTCCGAACCAGCAAACCCCACGCAATCAGCAGAAGGGCAAGCTCGGTTGGGCAGAACTCGGCGGCGAGCATCTCCAGTTCTCCTTATTGAAGGAGAACAAGGACACCATGGAGGTCATCTCCTTCATATCTAGCCGCTTAGGTATGAAGCCGCGGTCTTTCGCGTTTGCCGGCACCAAGGATAGACGTGGAGTTACTGTTCAGCGAGTCAGCGTTTTCCGCAAGAATGCTGAACAAATCTCTCATTTGAACAGAGATATGTGGGGCTCCAAGATCGGCGACTTCACATACGAGAAGCACGCACTTGAGCTTGGCGATCTGACTGGAAATGAGTTCCATATTACTCTTAGGGACTGTCAGTTTCCAGGGGCTGATAACCTAGACGACGAGGGCAAACTTGCGCTTGCCAACAAGGTTGTTGGTGGTGCTGTCGAATCTATCCAATCTCATGGGTTCCTTAACTACTATGGACTCCAGCGATTTGGTACATACCTCATTGGCACTGACGAAATTGGCAAACTCATCCTCAAGAATGATTACAAGGGAGCTGTCGATGCTATCCTCAGCTACAGCCCAGAGTGCCTCTCTGCTGGCCAGGATCCAGACTTTGTCACGTCGGACGGGAAGCCGCTGTCCAGAGATGACATTGCCAGAGCCAAGGCAATCGACATTTTTAAGGCTACGGGCCGCGCCAAGGAGGCTTTGGACAAGCTGCCAAGAAAGTTTAGCGCCGAGTCGACGATTATTCGCCATCTCGAACGCGGAGACAGAAAGACCGACTACATGGGCGCGATTCTCCAGATAAACAGAAATCTCCGACTGATGTACGTGCACGCATATCAATCGCTGGTGTGGAACCACGCAGTCAGCGAGCGCTGGGCCCAATCTGGGGATAAGGTCGTAGAGGGCGATTTGGTCCTTGTGGAAGCCAATGCCGACAAGCCTGAAGTCGAGGAACTTGACCAAAACGGTGAAGTTGTCGTTCTCCCAGCAGCGGACGACACGGCTGTAAGCACAGACAACATGTTCCAGCGCGCTCGTCCGTTGTCTGCCGATGAAGCCGTATCGGGGAAGTTTTCAATCTTCGATATTGTCCTGCCTACTCCTGGCTATGACATTGAGTACCCGCTGAACGCCATTGGTGACTTCTATAAGACGTTCATGGGCTCGGAGCGTGGCGGCGGCCTCGACCCGGCGAACATGCGACGTGCACAGAAGGATTTCTCGCTGAGTGGGAGTTACAGGAAAATTATGGGCACGGTTGGCAACGATGTCACTTATGAGGTGAAGGCTTACACCGAAGACAATGAGCAAATGGTTGAGACAGATCTGGATCGTATCAATAAGAGTCATGGACAGCCTAACCGCAACGCCGAGCCGAAGCATAGGTATGCGGGCAAGGAAGTGTTTGGCAATACAGATGCCGAGGCTGGGCGAAATGCTTGGGCTGAGTCATCCAAGACCATTGCTGAGGGTGATAAAGCCCTTGAGATAACCGCAGCTAGTGCCGGTAAATCCAGTGTTTCTGCTGTCCATGAGACGTTCATTCATAAGGATGGTGGGAATGGCGAGCAAACTGGAGTGAAGGAAACCTTGTTACTACCCTGGTCCGCGGCATCTGGTGCAGATAATACTACAACGAGCGAGGCTCCGGCTGCAACCACGATTGCCGAAGCCACAGAGGACAAAAAGCGCGCAGCTGATGATATGACTAGAGATGACAACGAGGCTGCGGAAAGGCGACGCAAGATTGCGGTTATTGTCAAATTCCAGCTTGGATCGAGCCAGTATGCAACTATGGCGTTGAGGGAGTTGATGAAGGAGGGAGGCGTTGTGACATATAAACCAGACTTCAGCAGCGGGCGTTAAGGTTGGGTGTACAATAGCAAAAGTCGATATGTTACAGGGATGGGTGGCTACCAATAGAGTAGGACTAGGCATATACAAAATAAAACGAGTGAATCTGACACAATTTCAATAATTTGGGTATTTCATAACCATATGTTCCGGCCCAACCGCGAGTTGTGCGCGCTCATGAGGGAGAGTAACTCACGGTTGGGCCAGAACACATAAATTCAGGCGGGGGTCAATAACTATATTCAACTATCTGTATCTAAATCAAACTGGAAGACTCACATGCAAAAGCACTGGGTGGTGGGTTTGATCCCCATCTTCTTCCTGAGGTCCTGCTTTATCTCTATGGTGTCCCTCTGGCACCTCATGCACTTAGCAAACTCCTCAAGATTCCGCACGCCGCCTTTGCACCAGATGCTGCGTCCGGCCTCGAACGTCTGCTGCTCGGCAATGGCGCATTTCCGGCGATGAACTTTGACATGATTGCATGCCTTATAGCGGATAGCTATCTGTTTGCACATTGTAAGGGAGGGGATGAAAATAGCCAGCGGATTGGGTATACTTACTGTGGGTGTGTTTTGTTGCGGTTGGTGCATCAGATCGAGTTCTGCGTATTTGGGATAGTTGGGATAACGGGCCTCTTATATAGGCAAATCATGGATGATAAATGGTATTGTCTATGATAAAACAGCGACAAAGGAAAGCAAGCGCCCCTATGAATACACTCAAAGCAGATAATTCATTGTGCAGAGAATAAAGCGGCCGAGAAACAGGAGGGCTTGTTTTGGATCTTGCTTTCAAAGTAGTACAAAGACATGTAAATTTGTTTTAGGTGAGTTCCCCAGGCGTCAATCTACAAGGAGGATGTTTGCGAGGTATCATTTGACTCCTGGCTACCCGTCCCGTTCTCACTACTCCTCCCTTTCTTACCACCCCAGTTAAAGAAGTAGACACTCACATAACATATCACAACAAGAGCAACCACAAGGCAATTGGCACCTCTTGCAGTTCCAGCCGCGTCGATTGTGTCTATAAACACCAAAACCAGCGGAGAAGGTCAAAATAAGGTTATGGCGCCTCCCAACCTTGGCAAGTGTTGGGAATAGAACGTGGGCTATGGGCTACTAAGAAGAGCACCGAATATGGGCTCGGCGTCGTCAGTATCATCATCGCCGTCATATTCAGCAACGCCGGCGCATCTCATTTGAGAGTTTGGACGATGTCCAAGGCAACTACTACGGTAAGCACTCCTCTTCTTTGCCCCTTTTCATTTATATTAACTAATAACTATGTAAATAGGTTCTCGATGAGTGAGATCCACCAACTTACTATACTCTTTCAGCTCCATAACGTGCCATGGAGCGGTAGAGTACAGCCAGTGCCATGGATGGCGCTTTGCGTTGTATGTGCTAGGCTTGCATTTCCAGGGCGGTGGGTATCACTTGCTGATATATTTGGCCGCTCTATAGCCTGGTTAAGTACTGTATTTACAGATACAGTACTCTTCCTACATCAGTCTTACTCAAGGATGCTTCAATGGCACCCTCGACTTACATATGAGAAGTTAAAAGAGTTCGCAGTGGCTATTGAGAGAGTAGGGGGTGCAGATGGGGTTTGGGGCTTTGTCGATGGTACTTTTCGGTCTCACCAGCGTCCGCAAGGGCAAGATGCTCAGCGGCTCGTATTCTCAGGCCATAAACGGGCTCATGGAATCAACTACCAAGCAGTAGTAACTCCTGATGGTTTAATATCATCACTAACAGGCCCGTGGCCTGGTCCTGTAAATGATTGGGCGATGTGGCAGCGCTCTGGTGTAGAGGAGCATATACGAGAGGTAAGAGTATTCTATTATCATATTACAATACTAACAACCATCTAGGTTATGCAAGATCATAATCTATTATATCTATATGGTGATCCTGCATACCAAGCAGGTTATGGTATGGCTTGCCCATGGGCGCACCCACAGGGTAGACACTTTCTTTCAGATGAAAGGAAGGCTTGGAATAGAGCCCTCTCTTCGGTCCGGATTGCTGTAGAACAGGCATTTGGAGGAGTGCAGGTTCTATGGACATATACAGCATTTGGAAAGGCACTCCGTTCAGGATATCAGCCAGTTGGGGTTTACTATCCTGTTGCAGTTCTATTATCAAATTGCTTTATATGCTTCCGTCATACATCAGCATCTGGATCACGGTTTGCAGTGCCTCCACCATTAATAGAAGAGTATTTCTCATTATAAACTATATACATGTATATCTATTATATCCCTTTCTATCCATCTGTACTCTGATGCGTCTGTTGTAATAGATGTAGTATTTGACTCACATCCGCACGTAGTTCTTGGAGTTTTGATTCAACACTCTCGATAGCCTTTGCATTTGACCGCTCAGCAGCATCGGCGCTTGCTGAAAGCTCAGCAGTCCTTGCGATACTCTGAGCGATTTCGAGGATTGCATCTTTAGGAGAGGGTGGAGGGGGGTCTTCGGTGCACTGTTTTCGCTTTCGTCTTGGTTGAGAAGCTGAAGTTGACGGTGTAGAGGACTCGGAAATATGAGAATCGGAGAGGATAGACTCAGAGGGGATTAACTCAGAAGGCGGAATGGAAGACTCTATTGAGTTCGATAGATTTCGATGTGAGAACCGGGTAGTTTGAGCAGTTCGCCATGCAATAGATGCTTCGGTTTCTGCTTCCTTTGTCCCTTTTGCTGCATCTCGAATCGATTCCTTATTAGCCCGTATATCAACGATATTAATCCATTGGTCAACTGCATCATCATATGAAGAAGGAGGATCTTCTTCGCCACTTCGTCCTTCTGGCCGTAATGAGACTTCGCTCCGACGCTCTCGAATAAGACTGGTAATAACTCTTCCAATAGAGTTATGGGTTAAACCTAGCAAGTGTTCCGCCTCCTTAGTTATAAGCCGCCAAAAGGATCTATCTGCAATAACCCCATATATATCCCTTTTTTGGATGCAAAGCCGGATAATCGTTGTCTTTTGGTCTATCATAAGACCCTTCCCTCCCCCCCTTTTCGATGTTATAACGCCATCAGCCTGGCTACTCTGAGCTAAAGCGCTTTGAGCTGTAGCTGCTAGAGAGTCTTCGAGGATAGTGGAATCGCTAGTTTCATCACTGGTTTGTGGCAATTCAAGCCAAGGTTCGCTGGCGGTATCAGTTGAGAGTTCGTGAGGTGATGGTTGGGTAGGCCAGGGCTGCGCCATAGGCACTTGATATTGCAAATAGGGGTTGGTAAAAGCGTTATTCATTATTATATAACGTGGTTGTACACCGAGTCGTGAATGTCACCGAGTCGTGAAACTTTTTTATACCCACCACTGTAAGGTATAATTAAACAACCACAACATGTATTAAAACTAAAACTATTCAGAATCTGATGAGCTAAGTACTTCTATGACCTCCTGACAAGTTCGTGCATTATGGCCAGCCCCCCCGCAAGTGCCACAATGTCGTACACCTGGTTGCCCCTCATTCCTACCAACCCCTCCAGAGCGCTTCTCACGATTTATTTGCTCCGTAACTGCCCTTTGGGACAAATCATCATGTGCATCCCCTACAGAAAGTGCACACCCTTGATGGACACGAGACTTTTTAGCCCTCCGGCGTTTGCTAAGAGCTTCGTTTGCTGCTCGAAGGGTGCGGACTTCAGCTGACAATAAAGTCATTTCATGTGCCAAAATCTCTGTCCCTTTAGCTAATGCAGTAACAGTAGCAAAAATGGGGGTTGGCAAGCTTCCTTGGTGCCGTGCAATGCGATTTTTAACTAGAGTAGTCTGTGAGAGAGCATCTATTGGGTTGCGAGGCGTTTGAGAAACCCAAGGATCAGCGTCTATAGAGGGGGGTCCTGTAGGTGTAGGAGTCCGCAACTTGACATCTAGCTTTGAAATGATTACTTGAGGATCAAAGGGCACTAAACCAGCTCCGCGAAATCCAGCTTTGGCGTTTTGAGTTGTTATTGACTGGTTATAAGCTGCGTGGAAAGCTATAAAAAACTCAACCTTTGTAATATGGTTTATATGAGCCTTAATAAAGGTCTCAATTTGACGCCCATACATGCGTTTAAGAACACTAAAGCACCCAACATCAAGTGGCTGAGTTAGGTGAGACGAGTGAGGAGGTAGACAGAGAGTTATGATGTTGTTTGCTTTGCAATATTCCTGAAACGCAGCTGATTCGTGACTTTCATGCCCGTCTAAAACCAACATCCGATATGGTCCTTTTGCACGACTGCAAGTATGTTTATCGAAGTGATGAAGCCATTCTAGACCTGTCTCGTTGTTGGTCCATCCATTGCTTGTTGGTTTAATTACCCAATTGTGAGGAAGGCCGCCTTCAGTATACCAACTTGAAAGGTGACATTTCCCTTGAACTACTAAAAACGGAGGGATACTCCCGCCTTCAGCATTCACACAAACAATTGCTGTAGCCCATTCCCGATTGCCAGGCTGAACTGCCTTGCCTCTGCCACGTCGATCGGCGCGCGTAACAACTAAAGCTGAGCTAATAACGCCCATCATGAAGCCCGTCTCGTCAAAGTTGTAGAAATCGCAGTCTTGGATGCCGTACTTTGCTCTCATGTTCTGCACAAGTTGAAACCACGCTCCAATAAGCTCAGGATCTTCGCACAAGGCTCTTTGAAAGTCATAAACGCGATTAAAACGCGTCTTTAAACTCGGGGCGGCGTTGTATAAATTGATATGCCCACCGCGTCCCAACGTGCTTTCCCCCACGCGATTCAAGGATATAATTTGCCATATCCTCCACACTAGCAGGCCGAGGCGCAAATCCTCTTGCATCCATATCCAATATATTTCGAATAATTACTTCCTCTTCTAGCTCAGTCAATTTAAGACTATTGGATTTGGTGTCGCGTCGAGAAGGTCGGCCGGCCATTCTATCAGTAAGCGTAGAATAAGCCACTTTATATAGTATTGATGCAGACCTGCGATTAAGCGATTTACATGTTTGAAGAGCCTCAATAGCTAGAATGATTCGCGCTTCTTGGGTTTGGATTTCCATTGGTAGTTGTGGAGGAAACGCGTGTTGAAGTTCGTAGGTAGCTAAGTAGGGAAAAGTTCACGA